GCTCCTAGTAGTAAGGCCAGGAGCCCCTAGTAGCGTTCTTGCTCCTAGTAGCAAGGCCAGGAGCCCCTGGTAGCGTTCTTGCTCCTAGTAGTAAGGCCAGGAACCCCTAGTAGTGTTCTTAGGAGCATTCTTGCTCCTTGTCATCTTGGAGGTTTCTTATTGCTGTGATGGACTCCTTGTGCTGCGCTATCCACTGTATACTGTTGCATTGCCTCGGTTTCTTGGAAGGCATCGTTGGCATGCCCGATGTAGTGAGGATCGAGCTCCTTGCTTCAGCATTATCTGAGCTATTTGGGATGTGGCATTTTCTTTTGTACTTACTGCTCGCTCTGCCTCAGTTCGTGTACCTACTAATTTCATTTTTTTCCGAACTCCTTCGCTTTGTCAGCTGCATGGGAAAGAATTCCGTGCTACAGTATCAATTTCTTTGGGTACTGAGAGCACTTTGTCAACCACTCACTCGAGTAGCTTTGTCTACCAAAAAGACATAGCATGAAAGGAATTAAACATGATACCAGGGGAGAAGAAACAAAGGGGCCTGGCATCGCTACTAGGAGCAAGGACGCTACTAGGGGCATCGCTACTAGGAGCAAGGACGCTACTAGGGGCTCCTGGCATCGGGCGAAGAAACACAGCAAAGAAAGTATCCTCCCAAAGGCACACTCCTGGTGCTTCTGGCCGTCGTCTGGTGCTTCTGGGCTCCCAAAGTCTTTGGGATGCAGGGCCGCGGCGGCCAGTGGAGCGAGCATGCCAAGCCTTGAAGGAAGGCACAGAGAGTTGAAGCTTTGAACGAGTTCTTTAAAACCAGGTTCCAATGGTAAGTATCCCCAAAAATCTAGGAACCAAATTATTAGTGCGAGCGCTTCATTGAAGAAGCGAGAGCTATCCTGCGTCCAGTAGTTAGTAGCTACTTGTAGGTAGTAGCTACCTCTCCTACTAGCTAGCTACCTACCTGGTAGGTAGCTAACCTATAATTATATACCTCTACTAGCGGCCTACTCGGGCTTTAAAAAAGATGAGGGGCTCGAATTGAACTTTGGGGGCTCTCACAGCTCTGACCATTCATGGATAATAAGGCTGCTAAAGCATGCTTTGTGGAACTTGTATGTCCTTGGTTCACGGCTGCTCCTCTTGTACAGGTCGGTGTCCAGCGCAGGAGGTGGCAAGGCTGAGCAAAGATGATGTGGTTGCACTTGTGCTTTGGCAGGGAAGGGTCTGAGGGGCAGACACGCTGAGCACAGGGACTGGACAGCTAGGACGCTACTAGGTGGAGGCCATCGCTACTAGGGTAGAGGCCGTTACTACTAGTAACAAGAAGCTACTAGTAGCTATTTGCTGCTAGGTACTTGTAGAAGAAATTAATTAGACACATTGGATGCATTACAAAGCACTAGGCGCTTAAGGCTGATATTTATGACACGTCACACTTTGCCAAACTTAGGTGCTTTTGATTCCTGCCGACATTGGGCCAGAAGACAATTTTCTTCTTGAGTAAAGCGCCTGCCACAAGGAACAACGAGGAAGACCCATCGTGCCACTCATTGCATCCACAGAATCGAAAGATCATGCCCTTCTCCATGCGCACCTTTGCGCTGAAGGCTAAACACTGCAGGTGCGGCACATTTCCATGTTTGCTTTCACAGGGCCTGCAAGCTTCAACCTGATGGTGAGGAGTGCACGAGACTGGACATGCGAGGCATTATGAGACTGATTCATGGTGAGTGGTTGCAGAAAGTTGCAGATTGCTTTTCAACTGCCTGGGAGATTCCTTATTGCTGCTTTTTAGCCCATGCCGAGCAATCTCAAACATCCTGTTAACGCCTGGCTGAAGAAACCCACTGGTGTTGCATACCTTGATTCGTGCCAGAAGCGCAAAAAGAAGACATTATGGATGAGACACAGTGTTCTTTGCACTCCTGTGAACCAACCTTGCTCAAGTTGTTTCTACATACACTGCATAGGGATAGGAGTGAGGAGTGACGGGTGACGTGCCACCTAGGTCATGGCAGATTACAAGCACCGGCTCCGGAGCATTGATGCGGCTGTGGCAGGGGTGGGCAGCCTGAAGGTTGCAATGTCGGGGCAGACAGGAGTTGAAGCCATGGCAATAGCCATTTAGCAGTCATCCTGTAGCCATCCATGAACATCTATGAGGCATTCAGGTTGTACATTGGATGTGTTTCAGTGAACCAACTTGGGGAACTGTCAGGCCGCCGACTTAGAGGAGGCTCACGCTTCACAGGCCATGTGGGGATCTCGGGCCAATAAGTACAACTGCCCACAGCGTGGACATTCAGAACTTGTTTCTATGAAGCTTAAGTTTTTTCATATTGGACAGTGTGTGCTTTAGTGAGATCTCCAGGTTGACACCAGTCAGCAGGTTCATCGCACTTGCGTAGCCAGGCTGCTGCTGCAAAGAAGGAGTTAGACCAGGTGCCTGGGTGTGTTTTTGGTCCGGAGAACAGAGGCAGCGTTTGCATGAACATGCATGAACTGTATAGACAACATCTCCATCACACCGCACCCTGAAGAAAACGAGCGGTGGACATTTGACTGATCGAAGCTTCGTTCCGCAGTGGTCTCACAAGATGACACGTACAAGTGTTAGATGGCGACTGCAGGACTTGTTCCCGCACCCCCAGCGGTTGGGCAGGTGGCGGAAGAGATTAAAAGCCTTGTCGATGAGGAGTAGTTAAAGTCTCTGGCAAGTTGGAGAGGGTTGCATTTCCATTAGCTCTGTCTGAAAATTCGTGATCAAAGAAAGAGTGGATTCGAATACTGCACTTGCATTAACTAGTATTTTGCAAGGTTCACTTCTTGCAGTATGAGGTTCTGCAATTTCAGGAGGAGGAAGCCACAAAGAAGCCAATGGCTTGAAGCCCCCGTTTGATCGGTCTCAAGAAATGTATTATGGTGGCCGATGAGCCTCTCTGCATTTTCAGGAACCGATGTTTCACAACACAATGAGACCCTCGCACAAGGAGAGGCACTGATCACGCCCAGGCTTAGGACTGTGCAGGCTGAGAAAGCCAAGGCGAGAGTGTGTACACCTCTAGAAAATAAGGCTGAACTCTAGGAAATACGATCGAACTTTCGCTTTTCTCACCTTCCCTGGAGAAGGTGCGAAAACGCAGGTTTTGGTTGCAATGTAAGCTTTACTTTTGTTGATTCGCCTGAGCATCCAACCGGCAGGCACTGACTTCCTTTGAAGAAAAGAGGAAGGAGCTCTTTGAGGCTGCCAGGTCTTGTTGGTGGTCATTGGCTTCTGGAGAATAAGTTATGCTAGTGTTGCAATGTGCGTTTGTGCCCTTCAGCAACCCTTTCACACATTATGCTTTCCAGACTCTGGAAGAGTGCTCCTTTCATCCAAGGGAGAAGTTCATGGAACTCGTTCGATGCATTTTCTGTCCAAGCTGTGCAGGCTGAGCGGATGCTGACCATGTTGGAGGCTTTCACACGAAGTTCGTCAAGGGTTGTGCACGAAGTCGAGATGGAGCGTGGCAGGTCATGAGCAAAAACAAGCGCAAAGTGCAGGAACTTGAAGATGAGCCAGGTCCTCAGGTTGAAGTCAGAACAACAAGTGCACATTGTTTGTCACATGATTTGGAACGTGTCATCTACAACACTGAGAGGCGGTGGTGCATTCAGTTTGTGTGGTAAAGCATTCCCAAGCAGTAATTTGAGAGTTCAGTGTCCAGTTGGACACAGGCATACTTGACATCCAATCAGTATCAGGCGCGAAAAGGCCTCTGCAGCTCTGAAAGCCTCTGAGCAAAAGAGGAAGGAAGCAATCCAGGTTGGCAGAAGCGCATAGGTCAAGACTGCGAGACTGATTTGAGGCCTTGGGACATCCTTCTTTGAGAAAGCGACACATACCAAGCTGCACATGAAAGAGAGCGTGGTGCAGGAAACAAAGAAAGCCATTGCAGAGGTCACTGTGGCCAAAGGCAGATTGCAGTCAACCTATATCAACCCTGATATGAGTTGTCTCTGAACCTCGCTGAGAAGCTGACCGCGGAGAACTACTTCAAGAACCCTAAAGTTTATGCTTTTTACTCTGTTCCAACATGACACTTGCGGTCTACAGCGGATCGGATTGACACGTCCATTTTGCCTGGCAGGTACAGCACGGTCAGATTTCCACACCCGTTTATATAGATTTATAATGCTTATAAGGCTTTTAGGTGTGGAATTCTGACCGCAACTTAGGTGTCGACATGTTGCACGTAGGATTCGAAGGGGAAAAGGTTTGTCCTGTTTTAGAAGTTAAGAAGCGCAACTTTCGGCACCCCAGTGTATGCATGCCAAGCTATTTTTAATCTAAGAGTTTTGTGCGGGATGTGATTTACCCTCGGCATACATTGACAGGCAAAGGGAAAGCCAAGAACAAAGCCATGGCCCAAGTGGAAGACACAAGACCAGTGCTAATGACCAGCTCCCTGCTCAAATGCTTGTCTTGTTTCTCGCTCAAAGCTAGCGGAAACTATTACTATTGTAACTGGAGCATGCCGAAGCTACCCTGATTTCTCAGTGTGCTTTCCTTCCCTTTGGGGGGCTCTCATGTCTGCTTTGCCCTTTCCTGAACCATGCTTTATTCGCTATCAGGCTATCACCCAATCAACCCACCATCGCACTTTTTCAGTTTGCTTCTGGCAGATAAGTTCACTATTTGGTATCGCATTAGTCACATTCGTACTACGCTTGGGTCAGTCCTTAGCCTTACCCCTTTCACTGGGCATGAAAAACTCTCTGGGGTGCGCGTGCGTTCGCTTCAATTGCGGGCTTTATGCTTCTGTGTTTGGCCTTCCTTACTGTGCCTGGATGCATGCTACCCCTGTAGCTGGCCCAAATACTTATATATTTTGCCAATTTTATCGAGATTCAGCTGTGGCCTGTTGGTCTGTGCTAGTTGGGCAGCTGAATTCCGACCCACTCCGCCTACTTAAAGACTGAAATAGAGTACTGTAAGCTAGTTTCTGAAAGTTGACCAATGGCAACTGGGTGATAGATAGGCTGCTGGATTTTGGCCTTCTACCGGTGGCCACAGACACACCAGATCACACCAGCGTGGAATCATGTTGCAAGGACTTGTGCCCGGACAAGGCACGAGGACTTACCTTTGGATGGACTTTGATCCTGGTGTCGTTGTCCAGGCCAAGGCAGCACAACCGATACTAGTAACAAGTGCATCACTACTAGTAACAAGGGCATCGCCACTATTATGTAGTAGCAAGAGGCTACAATAGATATATATATATACACAGAATTATACAGAACGGCAGGCCCTGGAAGTGCACTTTTTCACCTATTTTGAGTGATCTGGAGGTGCATTTTTAGTAAATTTCAATTATCTACTGAGATTAATTCACAGCACCAGTACTGCCAAGGACATCTCAACTGCTGTACTCTGAAAAAATGCATAGGCCTTGAACAACATTAAAAGTAAAAACAAAAAACACCAAAAAACAATCCTGGGAGTCTCTTTGGTGAGTACACAAAAAAACACACAATCCTGACAGAGTCTTTGGACACCCCCCCCAGCCCAAGACCTCCCAGCAATTGGGTTTTGTTATATATATATATATTTATTTATTCCCCAATAGCCATGCTATGGGGTCTTGCAAAACTAATAGGCGGACGGGCGCCGTCGGGTCACCGTCAGAGCTGGTGGGCGGATGGTGTCCCGGTCATGTTTTGATGGCGTCCGGGTCATGTGATGCTGGTGTCCCGGTCATGTTTTGATGGTGTCCCGATCATGTTTTGATTGTGACCCAGTCATGTTGTGATGGTGTCCCGGTCCTGTTTTGATGGTGTCCCGGTCATGTTTTGATGGTGTCCTGGTCATGTTGTGATGGTGTCCCGGTCATGTTTTGAAGGTGTCCCGGTCATGTTGTGATGGTGTCCCGGTCTTGTTGTGATGGTGTCCCGGGCATGTTTTGATGGTGTCCCGGTCGTGTTGTGACGGTGTCCCGGTCATGTTTTGATGGTGTCCCGATCATGTGATGGTGGCGCGGTCATGTTGTGATGGTGTCCCGATCATGTTTTGATTGTGTCCCAGTCATGTTGTGATGGTGTCCCGGTCCTCTTTTGATGGTGTCCCGGTCATGTTTTGATGGTGTCCCGGTCATGTTGTGATGGTGTCCCGGTCATGTTTTGATGGTGTCCCGGTCGTGTTGTGACGGTGTCCCGGTCCTGTTTTGATGGTGTCCCTGTCCTGTTGTGATGGTGTCCTGATCATGTTTTGGCGGTGTGCCGGTTATGTTTTGATGGTGTCCGGGTCATGTGACGGTGTCCCGGTCATGTTGTGATGGTGTCCTGGTCATCTTGTGATGGTTTTCCCG